ACGGCGAACTCCCCATCATGGTGTGAAGGCGGTGAGGTCGAGGGCGGAAGACGCGATAGAGCACGCGTCGTAGTGACTAGGCTGCGGCACTATCCAAATTATCGGCAGATAATCGATTATCGTATCCGTAAATTGCGGATAACGATATAAATTCATTATCGAATTATCCGCAACGATACGATACGATAATTATATTTTCATTTGCGGGTATCCGCGGATTATCGTACGATAACAAATATTGCAAACATGCCAAGACTCGCAGTTCCAAACTTCAAATCTAAATTGCGCCTTACTCTTGTGTGTAAACATGCTGAGATAAATGAACATATAAATGAATTGCGAACTAACGAATCTATCCATACTATTCTCAAAGTCAAAAATATACTATTGATGGATCTGGATGTTGAATTAAGACTTTGCAGGAAAATGTACTGCATTCCTTCAGCATCAAACATATATCTCTGTCAAACCACCACCCATTAATTAATATTATAAAATTACAGGCGACTACAACTCGCTGGCTATATACTTAAAACCAATTTTTATGCGGAAGACATTTATTTAAGAATACAATACTGTTTCTCATTATTTCTCAGGAGAAGTGAAGGAAATAGGAGATGAGTATTGTCATGACGAAACATGTAAAGATTCAGACGTAAGATATTGTTTTGTCAGCTTCTTAAGTATCACCTGATGGTCCAGAATAGGATATATTAGCGAATTTTATGCTAGTGCGGATAGTTTGCTGATATCCAAACTATCGTCAAGATATCCGTGGATATCTGCAACGACGATGATGATAATGATCGATTATCCGCAATCCGCAATTTGCGGATAACGATAACGGGCCATTATCGTTATCGTACGATATGCCGCAGCCTACTCGTACGTAGCAATGAATTCTCACTAAACAGCTGTCCTCCTCTAAGTTCATCCGTCCCTGTTACATACATACTAAGACCCAGGGGCTTCTTAGTAAGCTTTTATTCTGTAGATCCTCTCCGAAACGGGCTCTAGTGGTAATCAACCCCTGGCACAAACCTCTGTGCTGGTTATTTAGCTTGACTCTAGGAACCTCAAAGCATTTCTAGGAACTTTTGATCCCCTAGGAAAGACACTTAACTTTTAAGCTCCTGGGGATATTATTAGTTCCAGGAAACGAGATCTACCCCTAGGATCTTCACTATACGATCCTGACTGATTATAAACTGACTCTAGGAACAGATTGGCTTGATCTGGGGGCTATCGCGCTCCTGGGACCCTGCTCGTGGATCCTAGAGTCGATATTCTGCCCTCTGAGGTCGCGGAAAGCCCTCATAAGACACCTTCACCGGACCTGCGCACAAATCTGAGACATTCGACCACTCCCAGAAGGCTTTGCCATAGCTGTGAGGGTTTCACGTGTACGTAGATGGGGACTGAGTTTCGTAGATGAATAATCAATATAAAGGAAAGCTATAGTCGACTCTAGATACAAGATGTAGCGCGAGGAAGCAAAAGAAGAGTAGCTTCCTCGCGTTCAGGGGAACCCATATACACCATGTGGGTCCCGCGCAGATCATTTCTCCATGCTTCATGTATATCTCTGACAATAGCCCCAGAACCGTACTTGAGGTTCCAGGAATTGATAAGTCTGTCAACAGGAACATGACTTTGGCTCCACGAGGTGGAGGCACCCAACCCCAGAAGCTCCGATGGGCTTCCCAGGGGCTAAGTGGCTCCCTGAAGCTGCCTCTTTGCCCCCAGAAACCGCAATGAAGCACCCGGCAGCAAGATAGCTCCCTGGACCAAGCATTCATTCCCAGGGCTGATAGAGTTTGATCCTGGAAACCACAAAATCATTAATAGGAGCGGCATATCCCCTGGGAACTACGTTTTAGCTCTTGGAGCTACTTCCTTATCCTAGGAAACTAATCTCCTCCTGGGGTCTTCACTCTACGCTCCTATATGAATACGAAGTTGGTTTGGGGAACGCATTTGCTGGACCCAGGAGCCGTTGCGCTCCTAGGGCCGTATCTCCGAATCCTAGAGTCAATCTTCTGTTTCCCAGGGTACCTTGTTAACTCACAAAAAGCTTTCACCGGACCTACGCACCAATCTGCGTCATTCAATTACTCCTGGACAGGCAGGTTATAGCCCCAGGAACTGCACTCGAGGTTCTAGGAGTTGATGGAACTATCAACAGGAACATGACGTTGATTGCCCGGGGCAGAGACTCAGAACCCAGAAGCTCCGTTAGGCTTCCTGGGGACTACATGGCTCCTAGAAGCGGCGCATATGCTCCCAGGCACCGCGATAAGGTCCCCGGGAGCAAGAGGAACCCCAGGGCCAAGACATGCATTCCCAGGTCTGATAGAGCTGGCAACAGGAACGTGACTGGTTTTGTGAGAGTGGGAATGGAGAGTCTACAATTACGTACGATTCATGAGTCTATTTGATCTCTGGGAAGCTCGCATGTTTCTCAGGTTGGCTTTGAAGCCTCCACGACCACCAAGCTTGATGGATACTTACGCAGAGCACATCGTCAACCACCACACGTCTTTACATCAAGTTACTCAAAATACCGCTCCAATATCGGCCAAGAACGGCCGGCTAGTTAGATCAAGCAATAAAAATGCTTTGATTTCAATGAGGATGATCAATTGGTAGATTCTCTCTGCAACTCTGTATTAAAGTCCATTCCTTTGCTTGACCCTGTCCATCGCAGCTTTCTAACTCTTTGCACTCCACCTCCCTCTCTCATTCTTCGAAAAGAATCGTAAAATTGCGACTCTTTTTTTCGTAATCCCGGTTGACTCGATCCTCAAACTCCTACCTTAAGAGGTCGTTGGAACCCCTCTTTGCCTGCCTTATAGCTCCGTGCGCACACTCTGCTAGTGTCCGCGTAAGGCGCATACGGCAAAAGGCACGAGAGACATAATGACCGCTAAACCCCCGAAAGCCGCCTGGCCAACGGCTCCATAATACATAGTCTTAAGTATGGAAAATTTTCCTCATTGCCAAATAACTCAAATGATGTCTGAAAGCCATGGACCTTGCTGGCAACATAACCCCCCAAGGATAGAACGACAAAGCTGACGACGAGTTGAGTGCAGACGTAGTAAAGTCGATACTTGCGGTCTTCTCGCAGGCATCTTGGGTGGATCGCAAGGACGATCCGGAAGATGGAAAACAGGGCTGAAATGAGGGCTACAATCACCATGCCCACGACGACGTTGTCCATGAGGTTTTGGAATGTGATATCCAAAATAGAGTTGCTTGAGGTGGCGAGGTCGGATTTTGCGCGGTCTCGTAGGATGACCGCAAAGCGTACAGTGGCCGAATTGAGACCGGCAAGAGCCAGCCAGGTGATGGAAAGGAAAAGGAAGGCAAGACGCATTCGAATTGTGGCTGCGGAAGTATTCGGAGGCATTGTGTCCGCAAGAAAGGATTTTTCCGAATGCAGGCAGGTGAGGCAGGTCTCGTTGAAGAGCAGCAGAATGATGAAGCAGGTCAATCTTCAGGCACCGTGGATTTATATGTGCTATGGTCTCTTCACATAAATGCTGTCTCAACAAAGAATGGCCCAGCTGATAGTGAGCCGCCCTAGGTGCCTTTCTCATGCTTTGTTGCCTCAGTGGTAATCCTTATAGGCATTCTCTCGGTAAGAATGTTTCAGGTAGAAGCACTATCTGTATCCTTTAGATCGACGGACACGAAGACCGTCGCGAATCTTTGGTATCAAGGCAGCTCTAGAAATCACCCCGTGTATTCCTAGGACTTACTGTCCTGTGAAACGGAGCCAGTATATTATCATCATCTCCAAAGTGATGGATTGTGCATAACATATTTCAAACTAAATAGTGATCCCAGGAAAATTTCCTATACTGACAGAGTTTGCTTTGATCCTTTTTGCGAAATTGCTTTGCTGTACTCAAGGAATATTTCCTTTGCTGTTGATTGACAAATTACTGGACACGTCCACAGGAAGAAAAATCCCGCTATTTTCTATCGTTTCTGCTGAGCTTGTTTTCTGCCAGCCAACTTAGGATCTGCTTCCAACCGTAAGGCAACGCTTACTGTTCGGTGAAACAACGTGGCCGATTAAGAATCAATTTGAACTGGCAAATTTAACTAAGTCCCGCTAGTGAGTAGGTAACTAACATAGCTCAAATAAATACTTTATATGGGTGAAAAATTACACGCTGTTGGTGTTCAGTGGTTTTGATGTTCAACGTTGATGTAATCGTTGACAACAACTTTCTGACACCATTCACCACCCGTACATCCAAAGGTATTATCTCAGAGTACTCAGCGAATTTATCAGCACAATACTATCAAGCTATTGTGGACGAGGCTAAAGCCCCCGGTGCTTTTGGAAGCGCAAAAACGACACCACCGGTCCTCTTTTCTATTGTGGCTTTTGCCGCGGCTGAATCATGAGGCAATAACAACCCCGGAGAAATCGAAAATGCAACGCCCTTCCGCATGTTTCTAATTCATGACCAACTCCAATCTGGCAACCAGGTTACTCCAGGGAATGCGCTTCCAACCAATCGGTGCTTCGGGCACCACGTGGATACGACAACTGGTTTGAAACATCATTGATTCGATCGTCGCATTGGTCTACATACTGTGATTGAGGCAACAAATCAACATCCGCAGTGCTCCTGGGAGCCGGCATTGATATTGGTAATCCGCGAAAACTGGATAGTGGATATATCTTTCGTGGTGGATATCAAACATTTAAAAGCTCATGATTGTCCCATGGTTGATACTACTATGCCCTTCTTTTGCTCTAATAACCTGCTAGTACAACACCATTACCAGCAACAACCCAAAAAAATTATCATGGATTATAAGCTGCCACAGGCATCAAAGAGGTCCAATACCCCAGACACAGAAGAACACAATGGACTTTCATGGCAAACTGGTATCGTTATTTTAGAACCCCTTCTCGAGGAATCCACCGGCTGACTATCTATCGCATGGAGGCAATGAATCGACTGAAAACTTCCGTCGGGTCGTTCGTCCGTTTATCCACGAAAATCGCGGCCACTCAATCCAGGTTCTACAGCCGTCTGTTGACCAGTCCACTGGCTCTGTAGCTACAGAGGTAGCTACTTCTGTTGGCAGCTCGAGGAACTATATGATGTCTCCAAGCGCGATAAAGACTGAAAATCAAGACCTAGCCCCACTGAACGCGAGAAAAAGAGTAGCCGACTCCTCAAACCTCCCACGAAAGCAACATCGACACTCATCCTCCGCATCTCAAATACAAGGCCGCTCACAACTGGCGGCCCAAGAGATGCATCGAAAGAGATCCCTTACCCTTACAACAACGAGTAGGAAATTGGTTAGCGATACAATTCAATACCTAAAAACGCTATCCGACCGAATCTTGATCGCCGACACCATCTCCTCCACGGAGTGGGTCACGATGCATCTCGCCACGCAATTGCTACAGAGCAGGTACGAAGATATCCTTGCGAGGGAAGAGATGGAAACAAACGATGTGTCCGAGTTTAATTTCCCACCGACACAGCCAGAAGAGAGGTGCCGGAAGTGCGCTGCTGCGGATGAGGAGCGGCTGTATGACTGAGGGACTGTTCCTTCTTATTAGTTTGTTGGCATATTTTGATAGAATAACTGGTTTTTGAAAATGATGGAGCAAATATATGTGCTTAAATGTCACCATATTAACTAAGATGAACCAATAGGGCATTATTTGTAGACTATAATAGACTCTAGTATTGGTAAGACAAGAAAACCTGGAGCGTCGAGACCCAAATCAGCCGCGCCAGTATTTGTCGGACAATGGTGCGAGGGCGACTGCCGTGCTGAAAGTCGAGCTTCCAGGTCAAAGGCATACCTAACCATAAGCAAGTCCACCGAATTCTTTCCCTTTATCTAGCCAAGATGGTGGTTGCAGCAACAACTAGACGCTGGTCACTTAAAAGCCGCGAGTGATCATACTGGCTATGTAAGTGGAGCTCCCAATGCGCATCGCAAGAATCAGTGGCAAGTTTGACATTTCATAGCCCTGCCATTGACTGCAGTAAAATCCCATGTTTTGCCCTTGCGCTAGTTGACAAGAGCATGTCATGGGTGAAACATCCCAATCAAGCCCGTCGCTATAGAGAAGCTGTCGCGGATTCTGGATCGTTTGATAGCTTCCGTCTATTTATTTTTGGCTCGTTCTCAGTCGTAGGAAACCTAGAATCACTCCCTGAACAGCATTTCCTACCAGGAAGCACTTTCTGGGTAACAATATCTTGGGGAAGTTGAGTCAGGGGGCCAATGTGCTGAGCAGTGTGGCCATGTGTCGATTCGTGTGAGAATCCTTAATTAGCTCAAGTCTCATCTTCTTGACGGCTGAACAGCTCACTATCAGTCGTAAAAGGTCATCCGTGCCGGCAACACTTTTTATGTAGGCTTCGTGGCTCATCAGCCTCAACTTACGACAGTCTGTCGAAGCTGCCATTTCTATCATTGACGAGAGTCCAATCCCTAGCACGGCATGTATAAATAAATAGAATACCACTTTCTCTCTTCATTCTTGCACGTATTAGATTAGGGAGCACACTCCTGTAATCATGCCATCCAACCCGTTGAAAGACAACATGATATGTGACCTTGGCACTATCAAAGCTCAATCTCAGCTCCCCATTTCAATGTCGGCCCCCAGCACCTGCGAGAGTTATACGGCGGCCACCACGAAACCAGCCGGACCTCACTGCCGCAGCAGAGTGAAGGTTATCACGGGGCCTCCCAAGAGCCTTTGTCTTCCCCACTTGTGTGGACTGGAAAACATTGCATCCGTCTTGGTTGTAAGACAGGAGTCGCCATGGGATACCTATCGGAAAGCCATTACTTATGAGATCGCTGGCAAAGTTACAATTGCCACACGTCGCACCCGCCCGTCTCGCATGGTAGCCATCCGGACATACGCGAAAGAGAATGCTCGAAGATTGATATACAGATTCGGACGTCTGGAACATAGGAACGTTCTCTCCTTACGTGAATGCTACATGCACGAAGATCTTACGTTCTTCTTGGTTGATGACTTGCCCCTGACGCTCGCGCATGTTGTCGCTTTTCCATCTGTTTATCCCAGCGAGACAGAATTGGGATCCATTATATGCCAGGTTAGTCTCTTGTGCCCTTTTGATGAGCTGTTCTGACTTTTTAGATCCTCGATGGTGCCTGCTATTTAGTTTTGTTTGGCCTTGCGCACCAATCACTGGCCTGTGATGATATATTATTTGGAATTGACGGGATCATCAAGATAGGTTGGTTGGTGGCCGTATCCTTGCATTATCTGACTAATATTTCGCAGCAAGTTTGGACCACTGTATAGATTGCACGCCAAAGCAATCTGAAGCCGCATATATTGCGGCCCTTCCGTCGATCACAATGCGGCTCATGCAGAAATATGACAAAGACCAAGGCGTTGTTGGCGTAAATGATCTGGAGCGATGGCCAATCGATTCTGCCGCTGTGGGCTTTTTATCCGCTACCGAGACGGCAGGATCAATCAAGTCTCTGGGAACTGTGAGTTCTCCAAGAAAGGTATCATATAATGCTAATTTCCAGTAGCAACCTCTTTTGACGGGGAAGCACCGCCCAAGCGAGGATCTGGTCGTTCTCGCAAGAGCAGCTCTGCTCTCCAGTAGTTTGAATTGCGTTTATAATCCCGATTCTAAAAAGTGAAGAGACAAGGATATGGTGCACGACTCTTATATAATGGCGAATTTTCATCACGCTCGTATCTGTACGGTTTCACCAATGTGGAACATTCTATGCGTCTCCTAAAGTTCTCTTGCTACATATGAGGGTATTTTATTTATTTCTGGCTACCCATAAGCACAAGGCAAGTCCGCAGCGAAGACTAGCAAATTGGTCTCTCTTTCCATGGGGAGAAGCTGTGATACTGGAATAGGACTTTGACTTTCCACTAGCAAAGGAGCGTGTGTAGACCTCGCCAAAAACATTTAGAGGGCGGGCATTGCCTGCCCTCCGCCCGACCCGCGAGGGCGGAGGGCGTGTAGGTGCCCGCCCTCGCCCGGCCCTCAGCCCTCGCGAGGGCCGCCGTCATCAGCCCTCATCCGCCCGCATAACCAGCCTCTTGTAATTGCTGTATTATGACCTTCCACGCATCGTATGAAGTTCAACTTTAGACCATAGATTCAAGTAAATTTTCTAAGTGTATCTTTGAGTTTTGAACTAAATGTGATCCGTGAAAATTGAGAAATCGCGTAAAAATGTAGAACTCATATCTTGATATTGGACATATATTTTTGAGATATGCGGCAGAACTACCACTTTCTGAGTGAAATCCTGTAATTTATAAACTATCTAAATAACGCGTTCTACAATTCATTTGAAAGTAGTTTATAAATTTAAATATTAATGTATTCTACCTATTGAAAGAAAATTAAATATTACGTATATAAAAGGTCTATAAACAGCGTTCATACATAGCGTAATTAAAAAAGTCACGTTTTTTGCCTGTTTGTCTTGTTTGTCGGCCCTCAAAATGTTTAGAGGGCCGCTTGGTGAGGGCGGAAAAAAGACCCGCCCGACCCGCGGGCGGGCGATGCCCGCCCTCCGCCCTCAAAATTGTGGGTCCGCGAGCTACCCTCGGAGGGCCGCTCGCGGGCGGGTGCGAGGTCTAAGCGTGTGCCAAGTGTCGGAACGTGGTCGTTACAGGACGGACTAGTACGGGCATAGCCAATTGAGTACTTGAGAGTGTATTTTCTATATACTATAGAAAGTGCAGAATAAATAGGGGATGAGCTTAACTAGTAAGGTCGTTGAGAGCCTTACGATCATCAGGCAGAGGGGGTGCTGAATATTCCTCGGGCGCTAGTAACATTTCGACCCTCTTTTGTTGACACCAAGATAAATTGATCATTACGTACGACGTACTTTTCGCGTCAAGCGTTCTGTTCCTGGTAGCTGACAGGGTTTTGTCGCAATCAAATATATATTATAACTGCAGTCTATTCTACTTACGGGTATAAAATCGAAAGAGAATCTAGACTTAATATGAACAACATGCAAAGGTAGTAATCATTGTACAAATCCTTGTACAAATCCAATAGGAAGCAAAGAATATAGAAATTTGTATTGGCGATCTTCTGTCTTCTGAATAAGACACGAACACAACTAAAAGTAGTACCTCGAAGATGTCTATTCTTCGGATCTGAATAGGCTCCAGGTTAGCTCAGGGTGGGCTCCAGGTAGGCTCAGGGTGGGCTCCAGGTAGGCTCAGGGTGGGCTCCAGGTAGGCTCAGGGTTGGCTCCAGGTAGGCTCAGGGTTGGCTCCAGGTAGGCTCAGGGTTGGCTCCAGGTAGGCTCAGGGTTGGCTCCAGGTAGGCTCAGGGTTGGTTCAACGGTGGCAGAACCGGGTGTCAACTCCGATGGGGGGAGATTTTGTGAGTTCCCCGCACTGTATTGTCACACTTGGTTATTCGTTACCCACTAAGCATCGCTTATGTTTTGTATGGTAATTCTTACCATACCGGAAGAACTGCGCTGTAACATACAGTAATCGTGCCATGTCGACTAACAAAACAAAGCTTTCCTTACCGGTAGGGTGTTGATGGGTCTAGAGCTTTGTCCGTAAGGCGCGGAGTATATATCGCCGGTTCAAAGACGCCTGGAGACTGGTTCCCGTCTTACTCGTCGATTGCAACCTAGCCTGTGCGGTGATACCATGCTACAGTCTCAAGATTCGGACTCGCAATCCACGGCTGCTTAGAGGCTTCGGAAATAAAAGGCAAACCTATATTACAGAATATAGGAGAGCTAGATTCACTAGTGGCCCGCCCCGTCAGTCCATAAACAACAAGGCCTACGTCTAGTTCGAGGCCTCACGCAAACTGACACGGCCTGGCGTGAGACGAGTATTATGCTTGCTTCATACGACTACAATCATAAAAATAAAATACAAAAGACCATGACATGAGAAACGAGGTTCATGTGGTGATACTCCGTACCTCACACCAACAGAATACCCTTTACTCGGAATTGACCAAATTTTGGAAGCGAAAATCCATCATTCTTCTTACACCGCAAAGACCCGCTCTACAAAAGCTAAACAGGTCTATAGACCCCAACTAAGATATATAATATTGCACCCCTAAACCTGAACCCCGGTAACACCTCCACAAAGTGAGAAAACGGAGACCATTTCGTATCTATGTCAGCCCAAGGGCTGTTTTAGAAGAGCGTGAGACAGTTCCATGCACCCTTTCTGCATGGTTCAATAGCATAGACTTTGACTTCAACTTCTCCCCGCAAATAGAGCACTCACAGTGCATGTCATTCGAAAACGGCTTGACATGCTTACTGACGAAGTGTCGGCTCAGAGATCCAGAGTTCTTGTACATCCTCAGACGTTCGCTCTGTGGCAGTCTAGGGGTACCAAGGCAAATGAAGCAAATCGTTGGTCTCTCTCCTGGAGATTTGACGCAAACCGAAGCGATAGCTTTGGAAAAAGCATCGTCGCTCTCACCTGAAGGGGATGAATTCTGCCTTTTAGGCAGGGGGGCAGTCGGTAGCATATCGCCAGGATCGGCGGAGCGTTTTCGGGCGACACGAGACCGCGAGGGTGCACTCTCTTCTGCATCACAGACCGCAATCACTGCATTGATTGCAGCAATTCGGCGCTCATATTCTTTCTCAATCGTCGTACCTGGCATCGTCAGGACAGTGTCGATAAGTGTCATATGCTGCGGTGTCATGTAGCCTGTTCGCTCCAGCGCAACCAATACTTCTTCGTCAACAACCTTTCCGGAAAGTTGTCGTTCGCTGTCGACCACTGGCTGTTCGTTCTTGTAACGCTCCAGATTCTCACGAATCAAGTGGTTGCGTTGCCGCCCTTTCTCGTTCCGTAGTTGCTTAACTGAGCGATTATACTGCTCATCTGCATGATCGAATTTTTGCTGTAGCTTTTTCACTCTCTTCTCTTGAGCTTTCCGTCGCTTGCGGATCATTCTGGAATGAGGGAAGTTTTCCCGCGAAAGTTTATCACCAAACTCCCGCTGTAATGCAGCCTGGGCATTTTCATAGGTGCGCTTCTTAGCATCTCGAACTTGTTTCCGCGCCCGCTTCCTTTCTTCCAGAGTGCGGACACGGGGAATCTCATTGATACAGCTCGAATCCTCTAGTCGATAGGGTCTGCGGGGATCAATAGATCGACTCATCGAGGAGGCAAACCGCATGAGCTGCTTCTGAGCGGGCAGGCCCCGTACAATTGCCTGGGCATCTACATGAATACCCACGCTGTAGTGCCGAACAAAAGTATCGATACTGGCATGCTGCAGCATCACGTTCTGTAGTTCACTGGACACATCCGCTGATTAAAGGGAAGCATTAGCCTGGGATCCTATCATGCACAATGTCTCACTCACGGCTATCGTTGAACGCTTTTGCTGCGCCATATCGGAGGCAGTAGGGCTTCGCGACTTCCGCGAAACCTGTAATTTCACCACCTCTTTTCATTCGGTAATTCAGCCATCCCTTGGTAAGTTTTTCTTCTGGTGCAATTCGAATCCCACCAGGCTCCCGTAGTGCATGGCAAAACACATTTTGATCGAGAATTTCGTCTTTTAGCTTTAATTCCTGCTCACCAAGACCATGGAGGACCCGGAGACGGTACAATTTCTCAGGGCAATCCATCACAGGGCCGTCTTTGGACAGACTTTTGAATGCACCAATCCTGAAGAGCATACCCAGCAGAAAAACATGAGGACTGAGAACCAGGGTGGGATCAAAGATGATTTCCGGAATTGGGAACGTGTTCCTATTCCAAAATGGTGAGCAAGCTTTGACTGGGTCCGTTGGCGGAAGAACTTCAACATACATAATTGCGCAGGGAAATCAGGGGTGAATTGAATGGGGAGGGAAAGAAGCAAATGACAGGGGACATGCTTACGACTCTTTCCCGCCAAGAAATGTTTTTGTGAATTCCGGCCTCAAATAAATGAACAGTCGGGGTCGTCCACCATTTGGATCTCGAACTAATGTCAACTTGAGGTCCTGGAAGCGAAGTTTCAATAGTGCCCCCGGACGGTTACCGGTGATAGCAGCTAGCTGGCAGAAAAGAAGGAGTTGTATCCGGTACCAACCACAAGGAAAGGTCATTTCTGTTGTAGATAGAACCACTCGTGCAAACTCGGCCACATCTTCGACATACATAGTCACTTTCGGTCGACCTTTCAGAGAAAGGCTTTTTTCTGTCGCAACTATCGCAAGCACCTATTGAAAGTCAGCCCGGTCAATTTTTTATCGATATAGATATTCAATCAGGATCTCACGTCACGGATCTTAACATGGACATCTTTGCTGACGCCATGTCCAACCTCGGCCTTGTAGATCAGATGCCACCACTTCCAAAATGCGTCGAGCGTGCTTTTGGTATTCACTCCCGCGGTGTGACGTCCATCCTTTCCCCGTCGCTGGTCACACCGCCAGGAGAAGAGAGCCTTGAGGAAGCGGACCGTCTCCTCGGTATCAGAGAGCCAGAACAAACATTCCACCGGATCGCGCTTCGTGCCTTTGCAGAACCTAGAACAATCAGCGAACCAAGC